ACCCCAATGAAAGTACCCTCCCCCAAATGAAGTCAACCTACTGAAAACTGTATTGTGTCACTTCTGCTTTTCAGCATAATGACACACTGAAAAACAATTTGGGACCTTTTTTTTTGTCCTAGTATGTTATATGGCTATGTTGGCAAATCTGGGGCACATGTGCCATCTCTGGCATGTGAAACCATTTTGGACAGCACATGGAGAGATGGGAGGGCAGGGAAGAGAAGGAACAGGTACGCGCCTGCTCCTCCTCTTCCCCCGCCCTCCCGTCATTTCAACAGCCTCTCCATGCACCTGCTCCTCCACTTCCCCTTGCCCTCCCATGCTTTCCACTGTCATGCACCTGTTCCTTTTATTCCCCCTGCACCCCCCCTGGGCTTTAAGCCCAAGATGGAGGGAGGAAAGAAGTACTGCCCTGGAAGTCCCAGCCCCAGAGGGCAAAAATCCCACCCCTGGCACCAGGTAACATCTGGTGCCAGAAGGCCTTTTAATTTGTGCACTTGTCCCCTAAAATGTTCACCATCACTGTTATATGGGTTAGGGAAAAAAGACTCCAATGGTAAAAAGAAACAGATTTTTTAGGGCAATCTTTGTCCCAGCAGTGTGCATGTATTAACTGTACCAGGCATTTAGCTGAAACTTGGGAATATTGTTTATAACAAGATCACAGAATGCCTGTATTGTAAGTCACTCTAGGTCTGTGTGCATTCTGCAATATGTGACTATGAGTAACTAAAATATCCTGTCCTGGAATATGAAAATGAAAGCCTTTTAGATCAGGAATCCCTGTGAGAGGAAAGTTTTAAAAATGTATGATGCATGGAAGAAAAAGCAATCTCCCACTCTTAAGTGATTTGCTACTGTGGTTTGGGAGAGAAGGACTTTGAGTTTACAAAATGAGTCAGTGCATGTTGTACTAATATGCCACATGGTGAGCTGTACTTAGACAGAAGGACAGATGAAGTAAGACAGGCTTCTATGTGGTGGGGTAAAGTCTGGGAAGCACATCCTACCTGTGAAATGAAAATAAGATATTTATAACAAGTAGATGGACATTCCTCCCTCACAGTATATGATCTTTGCACAAGTTAACACTACAGGAGCAGAGTCTCTGAAAGTTTTTTACAGGTCCAAGAATCCTCTGCTGGCTGGAGGATTCTGGGATTTATAATTTAAAAAATGAAATTGGTCTAAACTCCGTCCAAGAACTATCATGTCTGCAGCTGCTTCCATATCATAAGATCACATATAAAACCCATGGAGAGGTCCCCTGGTTCCTGTCTTTAAGTATTTGTATCTTTGCTACAGAGAGTCAGCATAGTATAGTGGTTTGAGTATTGGGCTAAGACTCTGAAGACCTAGGGTTTGAATCCCCACTCAGCCATGAAAACCCACTGGGTGATCTTGGGCAAATCACACTCTCTCAGCCTTAGAGGAAGGCAAGGGCAATCCCCTCCCCCACAAACAAATCTTGCCAAAAAACAAACAAACCTGTGACATGCTTTCCTTAGGATCTCCATAACAACAATAATCTAATGAATAACACGAAGAGATGTTGGATCCAACATTGTGTTTCCAAAGCTGGGCTTGTCATCATGAAATGGTGTGGAGTTTTGTATAGTTTGCACTATCAACAGAATCAAGCAGTAAAACTGTACTTGTACTCTAGCAGTCAGGCAGCAGGCACAGGGTTGCTTGTCTGAGTATACAGGTACTTTCATTCCCCTAATGGATCTAGAAAATCAGCACATCTGGGGAAAGAAATTATCTTAGACTTCTTTCTTCAGTGCATAATGATTTATTTTTCTCATAGAGAAAGGTTCATGCAACATTGCATTTTTCAACAACCTGGAGTACAGTCTAAGAAAATCCTCACAATTAAAGCTGGAGGTTACCCTCCAGATGTTGTTGGGCTGCAACTCCCAGCATTTTCCTACTGGCTATCCTGGCAAGGGCTGCTGAGCATCCAGTCTAACAAAATCAGGAAGGCCGCATGAATTCCACTTTACCATGATTTCTACTGATTATAAAAAGTCATCCTTCCTGTGTTGTTATGCATCTGAAAAGTAATTACATGACTCATGAAGAAAGAGATATCTCAGGATACTGAAAGGTCTTTGTTTTCTAAATAATAATAATATAATAATAAAATTTATTTCTATACTGCCCAATGGTTACCCAATCCGGGCGGTTTACAAATTAAAACAATTACAATAACAAGATGTCCCACCCCCCTTAAAACAATATTAAATAGAAATACAATTAAAACATCAAAAAATATAAAATGAATTAAAAATTAGCCCAATGTGTTTCAGCCTGAGAATGCTCTTTAGGCCTTCTTCAGGGGCTATATTTAAAAAAAAAATCACAAAATGACAACACATAAATATGTAACATTCATTTGCACAAAAACATTAATATATTTGTAAATTGCTCACAGACTGTGCATGCTCTGATCAAAGATGCAGAAATTTCTGAGCTAGGATGTTTAGTATCCTGAGATGGAGCTCATTTTTCTTCATGGATTCTCTTGGATACTCTATTTTTTTTTAAAAAAAAATTAACATGAAACATGAAGGATATTAATTTGAGATCTATGAAAATCCAAAGGAGACAAGGTAGATGCAGAGAGCAACCACATGTGAGGGGAAGTAGCATCATTGGGGGGTGCGGACCGCACCTGGTGACACCTGGTCTGTCCCCCGTTCCCTGTGGGGCCACTGCAGGGCTTTCTGGGCTGCCAGGGACACACGGAGCCTGCTCTCCCGGCTACTGCGGGCCCGGGTATGAGTTTTTTGGGTGTGCGTGCATGTGTGCACACTCCCGTGCAATGTGCGTGCCAGAAGCCCGGCCCCCAGAAGCCCCCTCCCTCCGCACTGGTGAGGAGCTGGGGATTGTAATCCAAAACAATAACCTTTGCCCAGTCTCTCTGATGCTGGAGGATAGTTCTACATATTCCATGTACTGCTAAAAAGACAAATGAATGGGTCCTGGAGTAAACCTGAACTCTCCTAGAAGCCAGGACAATTAAACTGATTCACCAGAAAAGATGATACAGCTTGGTAAAGTGGAAGACAGCAGGAAAAAGGGGGAGACTGTGCTAAAAGTGGATTGATTCAATCAAGAACGCCACAGCCTCGAGTTTGCAAGACCTGAGCACGGCTGTGGATGACATGGTGTGTTGGAAGTCTCAAATTCATAAGGTTGCCATAAGTCAAAGTTGACTTGATGACAAACATCAACAACAAATCCATCTCTCTTTGATCTTTCCAACTGATGAGAAACCACGTGTGGCTCATGGTGTTGCCTCTTGGGGACCTTCCTCTTGTGGTTCTTCTTCCTTTTTGTCCATGTGCCCATCCATCTCCTTTAAAAGACATGGAAACTGTAGGGACTTCCACATCCCACCATTAGATACCCCCATAGTTTCTGTGTGAGACTTTATTTGTCTTATCCCACTG